GCGTAGCTCGATATCAAAGGTACTGCCCTGGGCCTTCCATTTCGTCCTGTATAGCCTTTTTAACTTCTTCTACTCTCCTGTTAATAACGAATGTATTTGATGCAATCTCCTGTTGAGTGTGGGTAGACTCTACGCATAATAAGGGTAGTCTCGACTAGCAAAATCTAGTATCTCTTGTCTCTAATAATTTGGTAACACATAGCGCTCAAGATCGCTCTTTAGTTGCTGGTCCTTCTCCCAGTCTGAGCAACGAATGCAAACCACCATTTTGAGAGAAGAAAGATAGAGGCCCTGGTAATGAGAGGTTCTCCACTGACCTTACATGTCACAGGCTATGATAACGATGGGCCACTTTACGACATTTCATTTTGAGAAAAGAAATTTATTGTGATTTCAGTTAGACCCAGTGTTATCATAGCAAAATAAAAATTAATTTGCATTTCTTTTTCTTTTTTTCGATTTCATTTTTTTGTTATTTGTTTTTCTAATTTAAATTTCCTTTTATTCTTTTTCGGTTGAAATTTATTTACATTTTCATGTTGTTCGTTTCTTTTTTTTAAATTCAAATTTCATTTGATTGTTTATCTTAATTGCAATCTTTCTATTTTATTTTAATAATTTTTTTTGGTATTTTTATGTTCATCTATACTTATTTACTTATTTTGATCTTTTTTTTAAATATGTTTTCAATTTTCATAAATAAAACAGGCACTTCCAGTTAGTTTTTCTATGATAATAATGGGCCACCATACTCAGCTATGAAAGCAGTCGTTCTTTTTAAGAGCTATACAAACATGAAGGAGAATTTTCTGGCCACCTCCGTATGTGGACGAAAAAATAGAAATCCAAATGTATCCATTTTGAGCTCACTAAAAATCCACAATTCACGTCTCCAGATGGGTAAACGCAGTTTTTGTTTGACAATTACAAAAATATGCTACACACGGCTCAAAGCAAAAATTTTCAACTGGGTTACTTTGTAGCAGGACAAGTCGACAAACCATTTTACATAGTTGACCAAAGCACTATCCCCCAGTTTGCGTATGGTACAGGTGAATGGAAAATACGTTTGTGGGTTGACCCTCACGTCTAATGCCTTCTCAGAACGATACCTCTGGACAATCAACTGAAAAGGGATTAAGAACAAGAAAAAAGAAAAGTGAAAAAGAGATATGTACGTGATGTATTGTGGGCTTCTTTGTAATTAGCCACTGTTTGTTTCTTCAGTACATCACATTCATCAAATCCTACCCTCTCTTGTGATAGGCTTGTCCACGTAGAGTAAAGACAAAGAACGAAATGACAATTAATACAGAACAACGGGCCAAAAAATCCTTGGTAGAAAGAAAGTTCACCGATCTACAATGAAAGCATGCAGGAACATGGCCCAATCATAGGCTTTCTGCGTGGGCGAATATGCTGGTATGAAATTACAATCATTCATGACCAATTAAAAAAGTTAGTAGGGCTTAGTATAGCGTAATTCAACAGGTCATTGGCACACATCATTCCGAACACACCGCCACATGGCCCTATGTTAAGGACAATGCATCTTCGCAGCCCCCCAAAAAAGGTACATTCACTGCTGAGACTGTGGCAGCATCAGTTACTGCTACTACGGCTGTTCTAGGAACACGACTGCAAGAAAAACCAAGTACTTCCAACACCGGATGTGTTTTCACTTGCAAGAATTTTAACAAGAACGCCTCTTCTTAAACAAGTATTAAAATATTCATCAGTGTTCAAAACAAAAAATCATCTCTTTTATTCTTTGCGTTTTATTTTTCAGATTGAGGAAGGTGACAGCTTATAAAGCAGCCAAATGACTTAACAGATGATACTGGATGATAACGTTCTCACCGAGGAGAAGTACTAATCTTAAAAAGAGCAAAATTTCAGATAAATGCAAAATTAGTGTAGTTTTAGTCGTTTTGATATTGTCGATTAAATTTAACAAATTTCGCAGAGGTACGTGTGTACAAGTTGTGAGGGAAGTGTACACCTGCATGAAGGTGCATTGCTCTTTGTGAGCTAAAGTTGCATGTTCAAAAAGTTAATGGGGGGGAGGTTACCATAACTAAATCTAAAAGTAACTGGGCAAAGGTAGCACCATACCTGTGTGAGAAGGAAACACCAGAAGGAAAGACTTTCTGACCATTACATACGCAAATGACTATTCAGTACAGAAATATCAGAAACAGGACCACTATACTATTTTGCAGCAAAATGTGTGCAAATATATCCAGGTGAGTCACTTTGGATAATCGCAGCATGCAATGGAAGTGGCTATGTGACGTACCAAGTCAGCTACAAGTGGAGACAAAATAGTATGAGACACTTTAGTCAAATGAGATTTATATCATTAAGGAAGAGCAAAACAATCTGGACCCCCCCACCCGCTCCTTCCTTCACAGTTTGATTGTTCGCTGTTTCCTACAGATGGCTTAAACAGTTCAACATTATTTAGAGGAGAGGTGGGAGGCAACGTCTTCACTTTTCCATTTGAGGGAATAGCGTTTTATCTATTTTTGTTGTCAATTGTAGGCTCCTCAACTGCATGGTTGAACGTTTGCATAGGTAAAAGTAGTTCATTTCCCCGAAAAGATAAAGTGAATACCCGTACTATGTTTTGCAGTCTTACTTATCAACCCTGCTTCACTATTGTTCCTTTTTCATTCTTATTATTTAAAAAAATAAAATCTATTACAGTGAAAAAAATACTGTTTTTCCTGATATTAAAACAACAGACAAATGTGCATTATCAGAAAAGGAAGGGGATAGGCTTAGACTTATAATATTATGTCTCAGTATGTGAAAACTCATAATTCCAGTGTGAGCGTAATAACATTATTCAGCAGGCCATTGGTGTGTGCGAGGTGTTATCTCATGTTAAAGTGTCTTTTTTCAACGGTGCTGCATTGATTCTTAATTAATATCTTTGTGGCGTTTTGAAGCCCATTCCTAAGATCTTTTGTTGGCGTCATAGGGGTTTTAACAACCCTTCGGTTCATCCTTATTTGCCTGGTGGGGTTCCTATGTACTCTTTTGGTCAATAGTTTGTATCGCAGCAACCAAGGCACCACTTTAAAGGCTCTTCATATGCTGTCTTCTTAACCACCTCACATTTTCACTGGATAAGCTTTGCTGATACCGCTCCTGTTTCTTTATTTCTCCCGTTTTCGAGAATTTTGCTACTCAGGGCAGTTGTGGGATGAGCCATGCTCGTCCTTGCCCATTATCAACTCACTATACTCTATATTATTTTGGGCAGTTTGGGGCTTGCTACTGTGGCAACTTAAGATAACCATGCTTGTCCTTGCTCATCGTAGTTTCATTTTATTCTTCAGTATTTTTGTTTTATTTGGGGCAGTTTGGGCTTTGCAATGCTTGCCATTGCCTGTCAATGTTATTGTTATTGACCATGGTCCTCCTGTTTTATTACTTTGGCTGTTATGGGACTTGCCGCTATTACTAATGACTGTTTTACCCTTGCCCGTCTATTTCATGTTAACTATTTTGCTGTCAATGAGATTGGGCCTTTTAGCGGGCTCACTGCTGCGGTAACAGTCTGTTGGGCAGTATTTTTGTTTTGGTTGTTTAAGATTCAAACAGTCTCTTTCTTTTCTGCCTTTTTCTTATGGTTTTGTTTTTCAGATGCCTCCCTGCTGATCCACTCGGTCAAAACAACAATCTTGCCAAGCCTTAGAGTCCCTTGTGGCTTCACCTCCTTGGAAGAGGCGTACTGCACCTTATAGTTCGCACTCCAGTAGTAATGACAGCGAACCAGCCCCTCAGTCATCAGTTGTTTCTGGGCCATCTTCGTCTCCTATTCCTGCAACCAGACCCACCTTTCCTCCTGCCCTGTTTGACCAGTTGGTTTAGCGGGTAGCAGCTGAGGTCACCTCACAGCTCCAACTAGAATCTTCTTCGCCTGCTGTTCAGGAGCCCAAGTGCCATCTCCTGCCCCTGCGTTTTCTCCTAGTTTGGCCAGGACAACAGCAGTTTAACAGCTGACTACAGAGGTCCCTGTGGTCAACAAAATTGTCTAGAGATGGTTGGGTCCATGTGTTTGTGGGCGTTTTCACAGGCCGCTTTCCAAGTGATATTCCGAGCCTCATGAAGTATGGCTCCACCATCCAGGACCTTCCTGAAAGGGGTCACAACTGCCGTTTTTTATGATGAAAATTTCCGGTTTTTGAGACAGGCCCCTTCTACTTCCGTTCCATGGGGTACCATTGATTGGGAGCTTTGGCTCCACTCACAAAGCATGGTCAGTGCAAAGAGGGCGCAGACCTGTGCAAGCACGGGAAAGCTTATGCGCAGTCTTTGTATGCCTTGGGGTTTTTGTTTTACTTACCATAGGGGTGGTGACTGTATGGGCTCTTCCTTTAGGCATGATTGTTTCAAATGTAAGGGCTCCCACCGTGCTTTACACTGTAATTTTCGTGCCAAAATTGGTGGGATTCAATCGCAAAATAGAGGTGCAACCAAACCTCCAACCCATTCAACCACCCTCGGTCCAGCTCAACAGTTATCAACCCCCGTAAACATTAGGTGTATGCTTCCTTTTCTATCTGGGTATGACAATTCAATTGTGCAGTTATTTGAATCCGGTTTTACATCTGGTTTTCCTTTGCATTTTGATGGACCTCGTTGTGTTCAGGAGGCCCCTAACCTGCTTTCGTCTCTACAAAATCCAAAGGCTGTGAGTGGTAAGCTTTCTAGGGAACTTGATGCCCATAGGCTTGTTGGCCTTTTTTCATCCCCTCAACCTAACTCATTTAAATCGGGGCGGTCTACAATTATCTAAGCCCGGCATTGCCCTTTTAGTGGAGAACTTTTGTAAATATATAGATTAGGTCATTGCCGTTTGGGAGTACGATCATATTCCTGACCCGCCGATATCTACAAATTGCAGATCCACACAAAACGCAGAAGGTAAGTCAGTTTTTGGTCGTGGCTTGTTTAAACATAAACAGTTTAGTTTCTCATATCGATGA